GAGACCAATAGTCTCTTTTCTAAAGTCTAAACTTTAAAGGAAGAAGACTTGTCCCACTGGTTGGGGAAAAAATGCCTTATTTTCATGGATACACTGCTATGATAGTGACGTGTTCAAACATGAAAAAGGTTCTGTCAGACGTTCTGTAAGGATCTGTGGTGGTGAGTGGAATAAACCCACCATTATGGTTTCTTTCTACAGACGAAGTGATGACCACATCGCCCTCTGGTGTTGGAAGAGTGACGGTACAACGCTGTAAGCCAGGCCAGTTTGTATGCCACCACAGTGAGGAGTGCATCCCCGTGTCTATGCTTTGTGACGGTCAACCAAACTGCAAGGACCACTCTGATGAGATAAGCTGTGGTGAGTTTTTGGAAACATCTGCCTTTTTTCCCCACATCTAACAGTAAATTGTTTCTTTGTTCTGATTTTCCTTCCATCATCCCCAGGAACCGCAACCACCAGAGGCCTTCCAGGCCTCCGTAATCAGACCAGCTACACTGGTGTAGTATCACCTGGAGTCACAGCTGTATCTCAGCCGCTAACCACAGGTTTGATTAATTTCCTGAATATTTTATGTCAAAAGAAATGAATGTGTTCGTTTGGTTTCTAACAATGAGGATGAACAGAAATCTGAAATTCTGCCCAAAAAAATTAAGTATTCACATGTACAAAAACATACATACTGTATACAAACTTCACTGGTATTTTCCTCCTCCCCTTCCTTACCCTTAAACAATAATGTGAATCAATAGCGATGTCCTAATCCGATGCTGAGATCAGAAATTGATCAGATATCAGCCAGAAAATTAATATCAGAACATATTTATCTTCATCTAAAATCTCAGAGTATTTGAAATTGAAAGAAGTTTTGAAACTGGAAAAAAAAAAGATTTTAAACAAATTTTTGAGACCAAAAAAATATATAATTAAAATATAAAAATACTTTTGAAATACACAGATTTAGAAGTAATTGTTTATGTTGAAGCTTAGAAAAGCTGATTTAGAATTAAAAAGAATTTTTGAACATATTTTTAAACTGAAAAACAAAATTATGAAAACAAATAATAAAAAAAAGGTTTTCTTCATACAGTACTTAAAAAAAATTGCTTGCCTAGACAAATATTTTTGGAAAAAATGAAAATATATTTTTTTTAAATAAGATACAAAAATTAAAACAGAAAAGTATTTATGAAACAAAAATATTTTTTTTGAGACAAACATTAATTTTGATCTAGTAAAAAAAAGATTTGAAACCAAAAATTATTTTTGAAACCAAAAAAAAATTATATAAAACTGAAAAATTCAAAACTTCAAACCTGAAATGTAAAACAAAAAATGATATTTGGAAACTGGAAAAATGTATTAAAATATAACAGTATTTTGGAAACTAAAGCAAAAAAGATTTGAGACGGAAAATAAATATTTTACAGTCATCCGATGACTTTAGGGAGTCTTTAGGTAATTTCATCATTTAAACATTTATCGTTGAAGGTAAAGTTGGTAAAGTATTAGCAGCAGTTTTTGTTTTGTTTCACAGAACCGTCAGTCTTTAGCAGCACCTCTGATAGCGGTTTACCCAGAGTGCTCTGTGTGGAGGGCCAGTTCACATGCCGATCCTTTGGCTGTGTGGACGCAGCACAAGTCTGTGATGGAAGGAAGGATTGCTTGGATGGTTCAGATGAAGAACGTTGTGGTATGACTCTCTACCTTCTTTTTTCTATCCTCTAAAATCCTCCTGATGTGCTGAATCATGCCTCCATACTGTTTCAGGCACATTCACCAGTCCAACAGTAACTCCATGGCGCCCCCCGGTGCCCAAGCCTTGCTCTCCTAAGCAGTTTTCCTGTGACACCGGCGAGTGCGTCCACAAAGATCGCAGATGTGACCTGCAGAGGGATTGCATGGATGGTTCGGATGAAAAAGACTGCGGTAGATGATATATGCTCCTCCCAACAGCTAATGTGATGAAAGGGTTTGTTTGTTTTATTCACATCTGTTCTGCTGCCCTCTAGTGGACTGCATAATGTCTCCGTGGACAGCCTGGAGTTCCTGCAGTGTGACCTGTGGCCTCGGCTCCTTGTTCCGCCAGAGGGACATTTTAAGAGACGCCCTGCCAGGAGGATCTTGTGGCGGAGCTCAGTTTGACAGTCGGGCCTGCTTTCTTCGAGCATGTCCAGGTCTGTGTGCAGGAGCCCCATCTTTCACTGTTCACAAGGGAACCCTGTATGTAATAGAACTAGTGGTGGCATTAGATTCTTTTTTTAAATCTAGATTAATATCACTGTAATCTTGAAATTAATCTGGATTAAAATGGCTCATTTGAATTCTGTCAAAGGCACAACCTAAATAATTAGTAAAAGTAAGTCTTTGAACAGGTTTCTCAAGCCAGTTTTTTTAGAATGTCTCGTGATGTGAAGAGATGTGATCTAGAGGTTTTTAACCTCTTGACATCCACCTCATTTTGGGTAATCCTCGCCTATTTTGGATACCCAAATGGAAAAGCAAATAACTTAGGAACGGTAACTGCCCAAATGACATGTGCAATACATTATTTGAAAGCTAACACCTTCTAGTTTCTGAACATATAAATTAAAATTGGGTGAATAGAAAACAGACCAAGCTGCATCAGTTCAAACATGACTCAAAGTTGTTTTTTTTATTCTCGGAAATGATGTGTCTTTTTTGAATAGCAGTATTTAAGACATTCTTGAGAAAAAGCAGGTTTCATTGTATTATATGTGTTCTACATCATGTCAACCACAAATGCAGACAGTTTCAGACCTCTAGCTATAACAGTTCCAGAGCTGTGGGGTTTGGAACTTTTGGTTTCAGCTTGAAGCTGCGCGCAATGGCTCCACCTGCTGGTAAACATTTTACCGGTGGAATTTTATGCATTCTGAGTTATTACCCCCACTTAAGGTGGTTTTTAAGAGGTTAAAAATGTATCACGTGAAACTCTAGCTGTAGAAATGAAATAGGCTAAATCAATACCACAGAAGCTACATTTTCAAAAACCGTCCCATTTAACCCACATTCACCCAAGCAATCATCAAGAAGCAAACATAAAGTTTTGGTAATTATTTGTGGTGTTGTGGCAAAATTACATTTAAAATGACATATGATAACCTACCTAAAGTGAAGGACTGAAGTTCCCAGCTGGTATTGAGGTGTAGAGTAACTCAGAGGTAGTTATCATTATTGACCCCCCCGTTAATTCTAAACACGCCTCTACCAACTTCTCATCTTTCATGGCTTTCTCTATGCCGTGCTGGTCATGTGTTCTTCTCATGATAGTTTCGCCTCGCAGGTAGTTTGTAAGATGGGCCAACAGCAGACTTCAATCCACTGAGCAAGGAGATAAGTTGGCTTGACTGATAGAGCTGTGCTAACGCGTTTGCCTCGGTTGCACTCAAACGTTGTAGTTTGACGAACACGACTCTTCCCCAGTACTGCATCAGGGCTTGGCCCGTCATCTTCCGCATTGGCTAAGGGATGCTTTGCATTTAGGTGGTATTTGACACTGGAAAGACACCTGCGGTAAACTAATTCCGCATTGCACAAGGTGCAAACAGCTTTAGTCTTGTTGAGTTTTCGATTGGGAAGCTTATAAAAAGACAATTTTCCTGAAGCAAACCCAGCATCTTTATAGCTGCATCCATGTTGGATAAGGTTATTTCACAGTAGGCCTACACAGATTGGAAGACTGTTTCATTCTTGCCCTCAGATATACATCTGCACTAAAATATCAAGTTTATAGTCATCGTTAGTATAGACCCAGCTCCCAACCCAACTTTCAGAATAGATTAACGGCAATATTTTTTTATCGCCCGATAAGAGTCTGGCTTAACGCAACACATTAACGCCAATACCAGCCCACCACCTGATCAAAATATTCCTTTTCCTTTTCCCAGTTCATGGTCACTGGTCAGAGTGGACAGAGTGGTCACAGTGCGATGCTCTGTGTGGAGGAGGAGTTAGGCAGAGGAACCGAACCTGCTCAGCTCCACCTCCTAAAAACGGCGGGCAGGACTGCGAGGGCATGACCCGACAGAGTCAAACCTGCAACCTTCAGCCCTGCACTGATGAGACGGGCACAGTGAAGGGTGAGTATCGAACCAGCCGTTCCAGAAGGTGAAACATATGAGGAAACTTAGATGCAACTAACAGGACTAGTCAGAGTGCTGCTTTGGTCCATAACTAAACTAGTAAGGTGTTAATTAACAGGGTGTGTCAGTGGTATGGTGCTGGTGGCAGAAGAAGACTGCAACGCTGGAAGAGTTGATCCCTGTCCTCCTACCTGCTCTGACCTCAGCATGACCAGCAACTGCTCTGCAACATGTGTCATCGGTAAGGCTCAGCTTGCAGGCTGGGGAGGTGGGGTGGGGAATGGTGGTAGTTAAAGGGCCGGTAAAGATGCACATCTGATGTAAAGTGTGCGTCCATCTAATCTTAGTAGGTAAAAGAAGAAAACATTGATCCTAACTCAAGCCTCAAACTCAACGCTATTTTTGAAATTTTTAATTGGAAAAAGCTTCCTGAAAGGGAAGTGAAACTTCTTCAAACTTGGGGAAAAAGTCCAGTGCATTGTTTTTTTTTACTTTTTTGGACTGATAGGATCCTTTCTGCTGATGAAAACGAGCAGATTTATGTCTCAGTCTGAACATAAACCGTATCATTGCCCAGGCTGTCGCTGTCCCTACGGGTTGTACCTTCAGGACGGGCGCTGCGTGAACTCCAGCCAGTGTGTCTGTCACTGGGATGACGACACCCTGCAGCCTGGACAGGTGATCAGCAGAGACCAGTGCACCACCTGGTGAGAGACGCATCCTTAAGTGTTAAAGGATCCACCATGGAAGACTGGTGCTAAATAACGGTTTAATCCCCCCTCCCTCAGTGTGTGCATAGAAGGGCAGGTGACCTGTGACACTTCTAGATGTGTGAGGACCTGTCAGTGGTCGGCCTGGTCTTCATGGTCTCCCTGTGATGTGACGTGTGGCGTGGGGCTGCAGCAGCGCTACAGGTTAGCTGTCGTGAAAACTGTTCTCCCTACGACTTAAAATTGAAGCTAAGTCTTATAAAAATTCAAAGTTCTCAAAAAGCTGTAGAAAAAGTCTTCAAACTATGATCAAAAATTAGGCAGAGGCAACTGAGTCCAGGTCCGGAGAATTTTATTTACAGAACACACATGAGCTGTTCACCGGTGAGCAACTGACTTACATGCAGAAAAGGGCCCCCTTTTATTCACTCCCAGGACTTGGGGCTCTTTCATCTTGGTGGAAGACCCACCTTCAAACCATATTTTATATTTTTAATTGAAGCCTTTCTTTGATCTATCAAAGCTTTTTCTTCACAAGTCATAGTGACATTTCTTGTAGATCATGATGACATTTAGTGCAGTTAAATCAAAAACACATCATAGTCTTAATCATCAATATGTCAAAACAATGTTTTCATCCAGTGTGACTTATGATCATAACATTACATCAAAAAAGGTCAGCATAAGTTTAAAACTCAAAGTCCCAGTAAAAACCTCACTTTTTGTGCGACCAGCACCGCACGGCATGCTTTGGAGATGACAACTCAATATATTACAATTAGTTCAGCTTAGCTGTGTAACCCTGAACAACCCATTCTCAATGCGTCTGTCTTACAAACAGGTCTCATTTCTGCACCCTGGTTTTCAAAGGCCTCAAATGGCCTTGGACTCCCTTCAATGCTCCTGTTCTCCCGCTCATTCTCGGTGTGTTCCCACCCTGGTCTTATCTCTCACACTTCAAGGCTGCGCTCCAAAGCTGCAGCTGCAGAGAGCCTTTACACACACACACACTGCTCTCTATCTCTTCACATTCGGTGGCGCACACTCTTTTGGACTCTGTGACCTGTATAACATAAATGTATTTAGTGTAAAACATTTATTCAATATGTAAAACATGTATCCAATATATTCTAATCATTGGTGCAGATTAATTTATTTCATCATAGCATCTTGGTCTCAATAAAGTTTGGTTCTGATCTATAAAATCTTTAAATGCGAAAAATTTTGAATCACTTAAGCTAGATAACGTATTTATGCAATTTATGAGATGAGGCATTTTCCTACTATTTTCTTATCCTTTATCTATACAAAGATAGAGGCTCTCATTTTCAAGAAACAACTATATTATTTAAGAAAAAGAACAAAAAAAGCATCAGTTTACAAAGCAGGAATGTGAAAAAAACATTTACCTACATTCAATAAGAATTAAAAAGGTGACTTAAAAGTAGAAACAAAATAATTTTAAATGGTCCCAGAGGAACCAGTACAGATAATTGCAAATCCAACTTTAGAGATGCCTGAGTTTATATCGTATACATGGCACCCTGCAGGGAAGAAAAAGAGATTTTATCTCAAGGGACTTCCTGATAAAATAAAGGTAAAATAAAAAAATAAAGTTTGTGGCTGGATTGTCAAAGTAACAGCTATGAAGTTACGGCGTAAGGACTCCAAGAACAGCTTTATACAACCACGCAAGAGTCTATGGATCTTCATGCAATTTATTGTTTTTCTGTTCACCAAATATGTGAACCAAATGAGTGTAAAAGTTTTTTGAATTATCAAAATATCGCACTGATGATGTAGATGTCTTTATAACTTTATAAAGATGATCCGTTTGATGTTAAAGGGTTAATGAGACCCTATAATGGTCCATTCCCCTCCTCACAGGTCTGTGCTCACAGCAGATGGACCACTCAGAGGTCAGCCCTGTTCAGGGGACTCCTCCGAGTCCCGGCGTTGCTCCATCCCATGTCTTCCTGGTCTGTAAACCCACACCCATTCAACTTTAAAATTTTAACATAACTTCTTACACATTTCTGTTGAATCTTTAATCTCATGCATAAACCATTCTTTCTTTGTAATAGGAGCATTGAATAACATTTTCCCATTCATTTCTCCCAGTCCTAGCAGGTGGTGCATGGACTAAATGGACCAGCTGGTCAGAGTGCACCAAGACATGTTTCAGTGACGTGGATGATGTGGGAATGAGGCGGCGATTTCGCAGCTGCAACCAAACACTCCCAGCTTCTAACCCGAGGAGCACAGAACCTGAGTGTGATGGAGATGATGAGGAACAAGAGCCCTGCAACACCGTGCACTGCCCAGGTGATCCAGAAAACACTAAATTAAGCTCCAAATGCAAATATTGAAGGATGATATTTATATTTCTGTTCTTAAGGATGGTTCAGGATGTTTGTGGTCAAACAATAGAGGCAGTTCATGTGTGCCTGCAGTGGATTTTTGTTATGGACGATCGCTCTCATCATGGTTCACAGGAGCTTCAGAAATGGCTTCATTACCATTATCCCATAAAATATTGCAATTCAATATTTTTTCATTTGTCTCCTCAATTCATTTTGAGCTTGACCTCACCTTTAGCTTTAGATCTTCAAGGTTCAAGGTTTTCCAGGCTAAGGACCCCCAAACTGATGGCGAGATGGAGCGGGGACCCCCTGATTATATATATTATGTGAAATAGTGTTCTATCAAACTAGTCCTATAGTCACTCTATTACAGATGGAGTAATGTAATGAAAGTAATCCCTCCCTGCGATTATTAAAGTATTTCTGATTCTGATTCCTGGGTGATGGGACAGGTGTTGTGAATGAAACAGTGCCCAGCTTGAAAGAGCTCCTTTGTGTCGCTGCATTGATGACTGAAAGACATCTTCTGCCTCCATTTATCTGTTTACTACAGTCTGTTGAATTCATGTTAATGTGGATTTAAAGACATTTCAATTAGTGGAAAGAATTGCAGGAGGAATATTTTAAAAAAAAAAGTCTAATCGACCCAAACTTTTGCGACCCCCATGCAATACCTCCGCTTTAGAGGATGTTTTAGTCTTCTTTAGTTTTTCAGACAGATTCTGTTCAAGTCATTTCTTTATTAGGACAGATATATGGCTGAGACAATTTAATCTGGATTAATCTGGTTATTGAAATAATT